CCCTGCCCCTTCTCACTCCATAATCATAATATATCCATCAGAGTCCGCTTGTATATGACACAGGTCAAGTCGGGGACTACAAGAACTGGTTCACCGTTGCTCAGGACGAGTATCTTGATGAAGTAGCCAAGAAGAAGGTGTCAGGCATATCCATCTACAAACCACGATTTGAACTGCCTTGAACTGCTCAGCAAATCCAATGATGACATCTAAATTTATTACATACTCTGTCCCCGTGGTTTTAAGCACCCCGCATAATTTAGCAAAATTTGATCATTTCTTTTTGCCTAATTTCTATTTTCCTTTATCATTCTTTGTTAAAGTTAACAGAATCGCATAATTTCACATTTTTGGGCTCAGTTTGTATTTCAGAATTTTTCTTGCATAAAACGACGGGGACAGCATATTACTTGTCTCTTTTTAATCTCCCCTTGTACAGTCAGATTTACAAGGTGGAGAACAGTCGAAGCCTGGTTGGTCTAACCCTGACTCGAAACACGCCATAATCATTTCTTGGAACTTGCTGGCGAATAAGTCCCTCCGACTTTGACACATCCCAACCCTAGGTGATTGCCTCATCCATGATGATCCTACTCCTATAAGTGCCAGTCATTCTACTTTTTCTCATTTTTCTACTCATTGGTCTCCAGTTTTATTGGTCAATCTTATCTCTGCCATTCCCAAAACATGCACCGAATAATTAGCTCCACCTCTCCTTTTCGTGGTTATATTGATGTATCATCAATCCCAACCCTTACTAAGACATCATGATTTTGTGACAAATTCATTTTTATTTTACTAATAAAATAAAAATCTTCGAAGACATTTTGTTTGAAAGCTTTTTAAATGTTTTGTTAAATTGCTTTGTTTGTTTTCCATATCTTTGAGTCAAACATCAGCACAACCAAAACATTGCTATTCATGTCATCAGTGAGTCGATTATTGAATAGAAAAATGTTTTTAATTTTACGAAAGCAATCCATGACTTTTGATTCGTTGGCGGACGTCATCGTCGCAGTCTGTGGTTTAGGAGATAATGCTGCCCCGGGACTTGAATTTAATGTATTTTTAATTTTTACCTAAGGTTTGCCATTAAAAACAACGATGGAAGCAGTTTCTAGTTACAATCGCAACACTTTTGATTTGGAAGGAAAATAAAAGTACAAGGCCAACCTTTTCTGCAGATCTCACAAATTCATCGATCATTAATTGCACTCCATGCATTATGATGTTTAATAGAAGGTATGTTATTCGCAAAATTTAAATCTCTCAAATTTGTGCCACTATTTATTATTGTGCGTGGGGTACCACGAGATCTGTCCCAGATGAAACATTCCTTGTTCTTTAACCCTATTCTTACGTCGAGTTTTACTATCGTATCCATACAACGTGGAGAACTCTGTGCCACCACTTTCCAAAGAGGAAATTTACTCGTTAATCCGATCCGTACGCTTTGCATAGCACTTTGTCAAATATTTTGAGAAATACTGAAAGTTTCAAAGAGGTTTTCGAACTAGAAGTATTTTAAAATGTGAAGAATACAACCCCGGGGTTACAAAATGACCCCCAGGGCGTACGGATAGGGTTAAAATCAACCCTCTTTATTTTGCAGACGTAAAATTCTGCACATACCCACAAAAATATATTTTCTATTCAACATAAAAATCGTTCATCTCAATGCACTTTTTTTTTTATTCGATCTAGCCAGCGGTCAAACGCGCTGACCATGGCCACTTTGGCAAGAGCCCTTAGCGCAGCATAATAATAATAATGATGATGATGATGATGATGATGATGATGATGATGATGATGATGATGATGATGATGATGATGATGATGATGATGATAATAATAATAATATTAATTTGCTTCGAGCTCAATTACTTCCTCGTCTTCAAATCGCTGTCCCCTTAGCTTATCTTTGATATTTGGAGAAAAAAAACCAACGGAGGTCGTGTGGTGCTTAGTCAGAGGAATAGCGGGAAGATTCAAAGTTTTCTCACTACCAGGAGTCTAGGAACCCTTAGAAGATCAGCATGCATTTCTTTGAGTAACTTCTTTAAAAGAGCCTTGAATTTGATGACAACACGAACTCAGAACGTCAGACTTTGAGTTTTTAATCTTTTCGTTCGGTCGCCATAGCGAAAGCAACACCCCCCCCCCCTAAAAAAATAATAGTGTGCTATAGTGGCAAAATCCGGGTCTTATTTAAGTTTGTTAATTTTAGGCCAAGAAAATGTGCTCCTTTCTTTTTTTTTTCTTTTCTTTTCTCTCTCCCCCCCCAACCTTAGGTACTCCAATCCGTAGGAAGTCTAAGAAATGAAGATGCTTCCATCATTTTTGAACAGATGCAGACTAAGATACAGTTTAGTAGTGCACATGAACCACAAAGAAAGCCATCTCCTGTAGTAAAACACAATAGATTTACATTTTTTCTCCTGGTCATGCTAAAAAATTAATTGATTATAACCATTGCTGAAAGTGTAACGACCGACCCCTCAAATTACTCCAAACCGTAGGGCGAAAAGGAAATTAAGATGCTTCCAGCTTTTCTGAACACACCTAAACTTGGGCAGTGTATAGTCGTGGGAAGAAGACATGAAATAGCTAGGTCCTTTGGAAAAACACAATAATGTGTTTACTCTTACAGCTAGGCATTCACAAAAACTAAAAGATTATAACCCTTGCTGAAAGTGTAACGATCGACAGCACAAGTTACTCAAAACGGTAGAGGAACAAAGAAATCTATCATTTCTAAACAGATCTAGACTAAAACACAGTTAAGTCGTGCAAAGAACAGTAAAAAAGACTATCTCCTCTAGTAAGACACAAAAGAGTTACGGTTACGTTTGTTTCAACTGGGCATTCTCAAAAACTAATAGATCTTTGCTGAAAGTGTAACTGACCGCTCAAATTACTTGAAACTGTAGGGCGACAAAGAAATTAACATGCTTCCAGCTTTTCTTAACACATACAGACTTGGATAGATTTTTATCGTGCAAAGAACGCTCAAGAAAAATCGCTCCTGTGGTAAAACAAACTACTCTGACATCCAAGCATGAACACAATAATGTAACATGCATTCATGAACAAAATCTAATACTTATTTACTTGTTTGGTTGGAGAATAGGCATCATTGCAGGCGAGCAAAAATCCCTCCTCTCCAGGAACCATGAAAGGGTCTGCTTGCTGATCGTGCCAGTAATCAGCTTGTTATATTTTTCGTTCCTTTTTTCTGGCTTTTCCAAGTAGATTGCTGTCCCTCCACGACTCTTTAAAGACACCAGCTTCCCTTAGTCTTTCCATTGTGTGTGATATGGTGACTTCATCCTCTCTGTGGTCGTTGGACCATGCTGTCAATGCTGCCATGACTGTTGGTGGATCTAATTGCATGGTGCCGCCAATCTCCGCCTGGCCGGCTAGCTTATCAGCATTTTCATTGCCTTGGACTCCTGCATGACCAGGGCTAAAGATCCATACAATCCTTGTGAGTCTGCTGCTTCGTATTGCCTCTCGCCAGTCTGTATATTATTATATTATGTGTTTCTTCACTTTTCGAGGGCACTCGTCGAGTCGATGACGAGGATGGCAGACTGATACTCCGTCGTGTTAATCCAATTAAGGACTTCTGTGATGGCTTTCATCTCCATGCACATGCTGGACGTGGTTATACTAGTGGCCACTGACAGCTCTCTCTGTATGACCCCGTTTACACGGGCGCTGAAAGCCCATCCAGATTTGACTCCAAGTTTTACTGATCCATATGTGAAGATGATTACGTCATCCTGTTCACTGTTCTCCTCTATCAGTGTCTCTATCTCGGCATTGGCTGCTACCTCTGGCAACTCACAACTCTGCCTAAGGTTGCTACCACTCGAGTACACTGCCCAAGTGGGTCAGTAACGCTGACCTATGCACTGCCCCTTCGGATGTCTTGCACTTCACAGCAGTAAGCCAAAGTTGTCGCTGCCTTATTCATCCATTCAGTCCCTCTAATCAGACGTGTGCGTACAGTTCTTCCCACTTTGTCATGCAGTGGGTGCTGATCATCAGTGCTGACTATCAAATACACTTTCACCTGAGCAATCTTGTGACATTCTACCATGGCTGGGAGATCCAGGAGATAACGCATAGCCTCGCAGGATGTGTCTCGTGCACCCGAGAACAGTCCGTATACCTTCGTTCTGGGTTCTTTCAAGGCGTTTCAGCTGCGACTTTGACACAGGGAGGAGACCGAGGCCATAGTCTATCTCAGACAGCAAAAGCGTCTGGTATAGTATGGCTAAAATTAATTCTCAGTGGCATTCTGCTGCACGTCATGGTTTTCAGTGCGTCAGATCTTTTCGGGCTCTTGTGATGATCCTGGTTATGTGATCTTTACCTGAGAGTGATTGTCAAAGGTGATATCTAGATACCTCAGTGAGCGCTTACACTTCAGGACCCTGTCGTTGATGGTGACAGTGGGCATCTCTGCTTTCACCACAAGGTTGTTCAGCGAGCACCACAGTACACAGGTCTTTCGGGGAGGAGTTTGCCAAAATCTAATTCATTATAACCATTACTGAAAGTATAACAACCGGCTGCACAAATTACTCAAATCAGTAGGAAGTCAAAGAAACAAAAATACTTCTGTTATTTCGGAACAGACCTAGACTAAGATACAGTTGAGTTGTGCAAAGGAACTGTAGAAAAGCTATCTCCTATAGTAAAACACAACAGTGTTATTATAGTTGCTTCAAGTGGGCAAGCACAAAAACTAATAGATTATATCCATTGCTGAAAGTGTAACGACCGACCGCACAAATTACTCCAAATCGTAGGGCGACAAAGAAATGCAGATGCTTCCAGCTTTTCTGAACATATTTGGACTTGGACAGTGTGAAGTGCTAACAAGGCATGAAATAGCTCGGTCCTTTGGAAAAACGCCATAATGTGCTTGTTCATACAACTAGGCATGCACAGAAACTAATAGATTATAACCATTACTGAAAGTTAAACGCCCGTTCGCACAAACTGTTCAAAACTGTAAGGTGACAAAGAAAGTAAGACGCTTCCAGCTTTTCTAAACGCATCCAGACTAAGATACAGTTAAGTTGTGCGAAAAAACCCGTAATAAAGCTATCTTCTGCAGTAAAACACAATAGTTTTATGCTTGTTTTAACTGGGCATGCACAAAAACTAATAGATTATAACCATTGCTGAAAGTGTAGCGACCGACTAAATTATTCAAAACCGTAGAAAGACAAAGAAATTAAGATGCTTCTAGCTTTTCAAAACACATATAGACTTTGATAAATTTTTATCATGCAAAGAACCCTCATTAAAATTTCTCCTGTGGTAAAACACAATAATGCTTTGGTTGTAACATCTATGTATGAACAAAATCTAATAGACTATAACCATTACTGAAAGTGTAATGACCGACCGCACTAATTACTCAAATTCGTAGGAAGTCAAAATAATAAAGATGCTTCCATAACTTCTTAACAGATCTAGACTAAGATACAGTTTAGTCGTGCAAAGAAACCTCAAAAAAGGCCATCTCCTATAGTAAAACACAACAGTGTTATTATAGTTGCTTCAACTGGGCAAGCACAAAAACAACAGATTATATCCATTGCTGAAAGTGTAACGACCGACCTGTAGTATGGACGTGAGACATGGAACATATCTCAGACTTGCATAAAGAAGAACCGGATTTTCTTGAAGTGGGAACCCCGAACCCGATTAAAAGCGTGAGTCCAATGTCCAAGGTCCTGGGCCACCCACCAAGAGAGGACCTCCCACCAATAATATACGAGGAGTCCATGGGGGAAACGAGCAGTCGTAACTGAAAACCG